GAGACCACACGCACAGCGCGACCGAGAAGGGGGGGTATAAGCGTTGTACTGCTTGCAGAGGGCGCCCCGCCAAGGAGTGCGCGACGCTGGCGTAGCTCATCTCGCACTGCCCAAGTACAGTCGGCCCCCATCATAAGGATGCACGATAAGGATTCAAGGGCCTTGGGCGGCCATGTCGGAGCTTTCGGAGCGGGGCGCGGCCAACAAAACTGGCCAAGAATGGACCGAGGAGACAAAGACTTGGGAAGGTTGCCCATCCTTACCATGCGGGTTGACTGTAGGCCGCACTGGATCCATCGGACTCATGAGCTGTCCTGTGCTCGTCCACTCTGGTGGCGTCGCAGGTGTGGGGCTCACAGCAGCACGAAGATAGGCGCAGGGCTGCAAGGCCTCTGCCACCGCCCAACCGACTGGGGCAAGAGGGTGCTGTCCGAGCTCGCGGACGGCCGCTTCCCCCCAGGACTGGAAGGCCTGGACGGACAGGTTGGGCCAGATGCAGGGTGCAGAGGAGCAGTTTCTCGCGCACGCCGTCCTCCCGTTTTGAGAGCGGATCATGGGACTCGGAGTGCGCGCCAGGAGGAGGAGGATGAGGAGGAGGAGGAGCAGTGTAAACCCAAGAGGCGTTAACGATGTTACAATAAACCCTCCCTCCAAGCTCCCTTGTGCTCTTTGCGGGAAGGAACGAATAAAAAGACATCAGTCTGAGAATCCTCGATCGTGCCACAACACCATTCCTTGGACCACAACGCCGCCGCGAACCAACGTGACTGCTGCGTCCTCACGCTGCAAAATCGAACCAGTTCCTGGGTTTCAGCACCACGAATCAACTTGACTCTTGCGCCCTGGCAGCCAAAATTGTGCCAGAATGCCATTCCTGGGACTTCAACCCTACGCATCCCCGAAACTGCTGCAACATTTCAAACGAATGCACGCAGCGCCAATGCGAGAGCCACTTGTTGAAAAGGAACCGCCCTCCACCCTTGAAGCTGCTCGAAGTTTTTAGCACGAAGGCGCGCGGCCCCAAGGCGATAATTCCACTTTGAAAATGGCCCGCCTTCAATTCTTGGAACTGTTGCAAGTTTTGAAAAATGCGCGCGGCATTAAGGAGCTCATATTTCGCTGTCTTAAAAAAACTGAGCCTGGGTGCTGGTTTGGCGATTGCGTGGTCGCCGTCGCCGCCCCGTCGCCGCCTCGTCGCCGCCCGTCGTCTGGGCCTGGGTGCCCGTCTGGCGGCTCCGTGATCGCCGTCGCCGCCCCGTGGCCGCCTCGTCGCCGCCCGCCGTCTGGGCCTGGGTGCCCGGCGGCGCCGTGGTCGCGGTCGCCGCCCCGTCGCCGCCTCGTCGCCGCCCGCCGTCTGGGCCTGGGTACCCGGCGGCGCCGTGGTCGCGGTCGCCGCGCCAGAGCCGCCAAGCGAGGAGGTCAGGGGACAAGAGAGTGGAACCCCTTCGTCTTCGACCCCGCGTGCGCCCCCCCCCTGCTCCCCTCAATCTCAAGATTAACCTCGGCCTCCCGGAGGCCCTGGGGGGTCCACTTCTGCTGTCCTCACATGCCTGTGCTGCCGGATGCGTGGGGCCAACTTTGAAATTGAAGGTAGGGGCGGGGGGCGCTGACAAGGGTTCCACTACTTTGTCCACCTACGGGAGGAGGAGGAGGAGGCGGAGGAGGAGGAGGAGAAGGAGGAAAAGGAACCCCACCAGCCCTCTGGGCGAGGGTGGTTTAGCGGGTCATCTCCTCCAGACCCCCTTCTGGAGGGTTCGACCCCTCCCACCACCCCACGTCGCAAGACTTCCCCCCATGCATCATCCTCCTGTCTACCCCCTCTCTCTATGGAGACCAGTTGCATAATCCCGCCTGGCGAGGAGACTGCCGCCCAAGAGTGGCATGACGCTCCCAAAACGATGTTGTGGACGAGGGCCCCTGTGTGTCAGGGCGTGCCCATCGGAGCAAGGTCAGTGTCCCTGGAGTCGGCGGCGAGCGAGGGGGAGAAGTGAGAAGGAGAAGGCCCTCTCAAAGGCGGCGGGGCTTCTCAGAAACCCTCCAGCCTTCTGAGAAGTTTCCTGCATCTTCGGGAAAGACTTCGAAAACTTCTCACAAAGGCCGGGGGACTCCTGAGCCTCCTGAGAAGGCCCGCCCCCTCGCCCCTCCCCCCCCGGGCCGGCCGCCGATGGAGACCAGGGCTCTTGCCATCGCTCGGACGCCCATTCCCCGTGCAGCTCTCCAGCTCGTGCGATCATTGTTCGAAGATGGCCCAGAGTGCTCCTCGATGGCCCACGCCGAAGACATGCACGCTGCGGGACGGGAAAATGACCACAGCCACTGCTTCGTGTTTGCGCCGCCTTCCAGCCGGCCGAAAAAGAAGCAGTGGTTGTGGTCATTTCCCTGGTGCCAAGCTCAACGAAAATGACCACAACCACTGCTTTGTTTCTGCGGGCTGGAGGGCGGCAACACAAGAAAAGCAGTGGCTGTGGTCGTTTTCACGCCCCGTACACACGTCCGAGCG